GTCCCTGGCTATGTTGACGTTTGTGTTTCCTGGGGAGCGCGTGGGCGCTGCCATTGGGGTGGTCATGGGCAATGGATGTTACAGCGGTGGGGGCTTAACGTGTCCACATAGAAGAAGGAGAGACAGATGGCTGACACCTGTCCCTCCTTCTGGTTTTGCCCCCAGCCAGAGGGTTCCAGGTAGTCTTGTCAACCACCCCTTGGGCCTGACGGTGCTGCTGCTCAATGCCAGGTCGGTCCACAATAAATCTTCCCTCATCCATGACTTGATTGAGGATGAGGGGGCCGACCTGGCTTGCATAACGGAGACCCGGGCGGGAGAGGGGGGGATGTCGCCCTCTCTCAAATGTGCCCGCCTGGGTATCTGGTTCAGCACCATTCACGCCCGGAGGGGAGGGGAGCGGGGTCGCTTTGGTTTACCGAGCCTCCATCTCTCTCACGGGACTTCCGGTCCCTTCGAGGCCAGGGCTGGAGTGCCTCTACTTGGTGTTGGGCGACTGAGACAGACTGGGGATTCTGTTGGTGTACCGTGCACCCTTCTGCCCAACAGACTCCCTGCCTGAGCTGACGGAGATCGTCTCGGACCTGGTGTTGAGGACCCCCCAGGATGTTGGTCCTGGGGGACTTCAATCTCCATGCCAAGACTGGTCTGACCGGGATGGCTCAGGACTTCATGGTTTCCATGATGGCCATGGGGCTGTCTCAACATGTCACCAGCCTGACCCATGAACGTGGACACACTCTGAACCTGGTTTTCTCGACAGGGCAGGAAGAGGGTGGTCTGAGGGTAAGGAATTTATGTCTGACACCCCTGTCTTGGTCAGATCACTTCCTGGTGAGGTTTGTGCTCGAGAGCGGCCTCTCCCTCTGTAAGGGTGAGGACCCGATTGTGTGGGTCCGCCCCTGGAGCCGGATGAATCCGGATGGATTCCTGAAGGCCCTGGGGGAGTTTCCGGCTGACAAGACTGGTGCTCCTGTCAAGGCTCTGGTCGAACTGTGGAACGGGGAGATGACCGGGGCTGTTGACACGATCGCTCCTAAGTGTCCTCTCCCGCCTGGCAGAGCCCACTCTTCCCCCTGGTATACACCTGAATTGCGGGTGATGAAGCAGGCTGGGAGACGGCTAGAGCATAGGTGGAGGAGATCACGGGATGAATCTGACCGAACACACTTGAGAGCCCATTATCGGGCCTATGCTGTGGCGGTGAGGGCGGCGAAAAAGAAATTCTTTTTCGTTTCCATTGCCTCCTCAAAATGCCGTCCGGCGGAGCTTTTTCGAGTGGTGCAAGGCCTGGTTCGTCCAGGTCCTAAGAAAGATCTGGTTCCACCCTTGAAGGCCCGCTGTGACGACTTTGCCAAGCATTTCAGGAAGGAAATTGCTCAGATTCGTCACGAGCTAGACTCTACTAGTGACTCAGAGGTTTCTGGGGAGATACCAATGTCGCCGTCTGGTCCAAAATTAATGGATGAATTTCAGTTATTGAGGCCTGATGATGTGGACAAGGTGCTTGGAAGAGTACGTCCCACCACTTGTCTATTGGACCCTTGCCCATCTTGGTTAATAAATAACTCCAAGCACGGGATTGGGATCTGGATCTTGGAAGTGGTTAACGCTTCTCTGAGGGAGGGTCGGGTACCTGCCCCTTTAAAGGAGGCAGTAGTCCGACCGGTCCTGAAGAAAGCGTCACTGGATCCAGAGATGGCCACTAATTATAGACCAGTGGCCAACATCCTGTTTCTGGGCAAGGTGTTGGAGCGGATGGTGGCGGGACAACTCCAAGCTCTCTTGGATGAAACTGATTATCTGGACCCATTTCAGTCTGGCTTCAGTCCCAGGTACAGTACTGAATCTGCCTTGATCGCCCTGTACGATGACCTGTGCAGGGAGAAGGACAGGGGGAGTGTGTCCCTGTTGGTTCTGCTGGACCTCTCAGCGGCTTTCGATACCATCGACCATGGTATCCTTCTGGATAGGCTAGCGGGATTGGGGGTCGGAGGCACTGCTCTGCAGTGGTTCCGCTCCTATCTCAGTGACCGATTCCAGAAGGTGGTGCTGGGGGACTATGGCTCTGCACCATGGCAGCTATGCCATGGAGTACCGCAGGGGTCCATTCTGTCCCCTTTGCTGTTTAATGTCTACATGAAACCGCTGGGAGAGGTCATCAGGAGGTGTGGGCTACAGAATCATCAGTACGCTGATGATACCCAGCTCTACCTCTCATTTTCCATCCATCCAGGTGAGGCGGTGGCTATGCTGAACCGGTGCCTGGCCGAGGTAATGGGCTGGATGAGGCCAATAAACTGAAGCTCAATCCAGACAAGACGGAGGTCCTGTTGGTTGGCGGATTGGGCTTCGGTGAGGGTGAATTGAACCTAGTCCTGAATGGGGTTGCACTCCCTCTTAGGGACAAGGTCCGCAGCTTGGGAGTGCTCCTCGACCCAGAGCTTTCATTGGAAGCTCAGGTGACAGCAGTGGCGAGGAGCGCTTTCCTTCAGCTTCGGCTGATCCATCAGCTGCGCCCCTACCTGGAGTATGACTGCCTGGTGACAGTGACATACACGTTGGTGACTTCCCACCTTGACTTCTGTAACGCGCTCTACGTGGGGCTGCCCTTGAAGACGGTCCGGATACTTCAATTGGTTCAAAATAGAGCTGCCAGGCTGCTGACGGGGACTGGGCGTTATGTTCACATGACTCCAGTTCTCCGTCAGCTTCACTGGCTTCCCATTGAAGTCCGGGCCCAATTCAAGGTGTTGGTGATGACCTATAAAGCCCTAAACAGCTTGGGTCCTGGCTACCTGATGGAGCGCTTACGTCCATATATGCCCACCCACCCACTCCCTGAGATCTGTGGGAGAGGCCCTTCTCCGGGAACCCTCCATGAAGGAAATAAGGAGGGTAGGTACTCGGAGCAGGGCTTTCGCTGCGGTGGCGCCCAATCTATGGAATGCATTCCCCAGAGAGGTCCGCCTGGTGCCGTCGTTATTTTTCGGTGCCAGGCGAAGACCTTTTTATTCAAACGTCATTTTAATTGTTAATACTATTTATTTATTTTATTCTTCGACCAGGGCGACTTATTTTATATTGTTAACTTGTTTTATATTTTTATTGTATAATATTTTAATTGATATATGTGTGAGCCGCCCCGAGGCTTCGGCAAATGGGGCGGCATAGAAATTTTCTAAATAAATAAATAAACAAACACGTCTGGCCAAATCAATTGGTATCATCATCAATATAGAATTCAGAATCTTAGATTACAGAGGTGTTCTGCATCCACAGGAAAAATGGATTTATGCAGGGAAAACAGCATGTCTTGAAGCCCTGTACAATGAACCACTTATACTTTGTTTCAGTGGAGACCTACTGATACTGGATTGACTTGGAAACCATAATGTAGCTGTTAAACCACACCCCCATAGCTGGGGTGGCACTGGCTTTGTGCTCACATGAAAGCACTTCACTGAGTCTTCAGTCTGTCATGTTTCTCAGCCAGATCGATGTATTGGCAAAAATACACTACAGAGTGCTGACACTCTTGCTGGGACTGGAAGTGGCACTAGCTTGTTCTGCACATGATGTTCGTTTTTTTCACCAAGTTACACAAACCCTAGCAATCTTTCCTTTCATATCTTGTTGTATCACAGTGATAAGAACATATATTAATATTAATCAATAGAATCTATAAATTAGAATGCATTCCAATGGTCCCTGGGAAGCACCCCAGGACCATAGGATACTGCAGATCTCCCCACTCAGAGATGGAGATATGCTGCGAATGTCCGTCTGTCACCAGTGGTATAGTCCAGTAATCCAGTGGTGCTCTGTGGGTAGTACAGGCCAAAAAAAGGAATGTGAGAATAGAATCCACCAGATCCAAAGTTCTTTGTTTCCTGGACATACCTTTGGAAGTGCATGGTTGGACATGCCAACTCTGCAGATGATATAGTTACTTTCCCTCCCATCTGAACCAAACTCTCAACAATTTTTAAAAGAAAAGACAGCAAGAAAAAAGGGGAAAAGTAAAAAGCTGCCCTTCACATCTTCTCATCTTGCTGGCATATGCTTGCAGGGCTTGAGAAGTGGCAGTTCTTCCACCTCAGACCCTCTTCCTCAAACCTGTTTGACATCAATAGGATTGCTTTCTCAGATTAAATCTCATAGTTTTAAAAATATTGTCATTGTCAACAAATGATATATATAACATGTACAGATTATATATATACATATGTGTGCCTGTCTCAAATAAAACTACTTATTATAAATGAATATTACAATAGTAATACTTAATGGCAGTAATGTATAAAGATATAAATAAATATGATATAAATATCATGAAACCTGTCATTCTAAAACTGAGAATCCAATTTTGAAAAACCCTAAGACATTTGTGACTGTAGCAACATCTATAGCAACTGCTGTATCAGAGGTGGGCAACCCTTCAGATGCTTTGGCCTTCAGTTCCCTTGAGCTCATATTATTGGCTCTGCTGGTTAGGGCAGATGGAAGTTGTAGGCTCAAACAGGTAAAGGCCATCTTCCTGTCCTACGTGTTCTTTCCTAGGATGGACCATGTCAAACTAGTTCCCTTCATTCTCACGGTGTTCCTATACCTTTAAGAGGCAGAAGAGTTCAACAGGTAAAACTCAAGAAGGAAAGAAAATCTTCCGAGCCACTTTCACCTACTGTTGCGGGGTGGGGTGGGGTGGGGGAGTGAGCTCTACAAGAAAAACGGGAGTGTCGCCCGAAATGGTCTGGGTGTAGCCCATCGCATTCACCCCGTCTCGGAAGCAAACCTCAATAAGTGTAATGGCACGGAATTGCCCTTGTCGCCTCTGAGCAGCCTTAGGCCCAACGGAGCCTGCTTTCCAATCCCCATGGCAACCAAAATCCTCGGAGAAGCAAGAAGAGTGGTCATGTGTCCCGGAAGGGCAGCCTTTCAGCGCCCCCTCTGGCAGGAAGTGGAAAGAAATTAGAAAGAGTGAAATTGGAGTGGGAGGTCCGCGGCCAAAGAAATAAACACTCGGCGATAGCAGTGAGGTGGAGCGGGTCACTGGCAGCAGCTTTGTGCCGTGCGGGGGGAAAGTGGAGCTGGTCCTTAAGGAAGGGGCCCGTCGAAGGGGCGCGGTTGTTCCCTGCCGCTGTGCCCCTCCCCTCTCCTCTCCTGCCGCTCCGCCGCTGCCCACTGGGCCCCGGCTCCGCCCTCCCCGCTTGCTCCTTTCCCCCGTGGGGGTCCCGTCTGGTTTGCTGCCGTTCCCCCATGAGGCGCGTCCCCCTCAGTGCACAGGCTGGGCCTAGCTGGAACCGGAGGTAAGCACGAACCGCTGCCCGGGGCCAACTCCGTAGGGGAAGGCGAGCAGCCAGCCTCCTCTCTTGCCGTCGTTGCGGCCGTTCCACCCTCACACCCAGTAGTCTCTGCCCATTTGATACTGGGCCTCTTACTCGCTGACGGCTCTGGTTTTTTTCTCTTCCCGCTCTTCCGTCTGGCCAATAACACCCTAGGCGGCGTAAATCTACGTTTGCTACCATGGGTACACTGCAGAGGCAACAACATCCATCCTGCTGCCTTTGATTACACTTGTAAACACGCATTGGTCATATTCATATTTTAGGCGGCTTCTTCATCTTCAGCATACTCCTACAAACGTGCATGCATTTGAAGAATTTGCTTCTCCTCTCTTGAGGCTTTTCAGTATTATTCTGTCTCCACCTTGTCTACTGATACTGACCCCTTCCTGAGTCTTGTGATGACTTCTTGTGGTTACCATCGTGCATATATAGATATTAAGAGGTTTTGATAGAAGTTTAGGTTTTGATTCACACTTACCCCTTTCAGTATGGGAAGATGTTTTGTTTACTGAAATATCTATGAAACACTTGGAGCAATGAAATGTTCTGTATGAGGGCTGTACTGATGTTTTATGTTGCAGCCATGTTTGCACTAGTGATATATGAGTATTTTCCCACTGTACATGTAACATGTAAAGGACTGATCCATATTCAGCTATGCCCCTACTTGGACAGGGACAGTCTGGCTTCAGTAATGCATGCTTTGGTAATTTCTAAATTAGATGACTCAACATACTCTGTGTGGAGCTGCCCTTGAAGACGGTGCCAAATGCAGCAGGCAGGTTGATAACTGTGATCCAGAGGTCCAAACATATAAGACTGGTGCTGGGCCACCTGTTTGGGCTGCCTGTATTCTTCCAGCACAATTCAAGGTGCTGGTCTTAACTTATAAAGCCCTACATGGCTTGGGGCTGGAATACCTCTCCCAACCCCGACCAGACCCTACACTCAGCATCTGGGTGCCAACCCCTTGAATGGCTCAGAGTGACAACTAGGAAGAGGGCTTTTTCTGTGGTCCCCCCCCCCCCCAACTTTTGGAACAACCTCCCTGCTGCAGCCCAACTGGTGCCAAATTTGCCATCTTTTTAGTATCACGTTAAGACAGCCCTCCTTGCAGAAGCCGTTAAAGATCTCCCTAGTCTTTATTTTCAGGGGCCTGCATGATTAGCCAGGTGCCTTTCTTTTGCTTTTGACTGGATCTTTATAATTGCCTTTTGCTGTTCTTTCATGTTCTTTTAAATTATTTTTAATTCTTAATGTTTTTCTATTGTACTTTATTGTTTTATACTTTGTTGTAAACCACCCAAAGAGCTTTGACTATGGGCAGTATACAAATGAAATTAATAATAATAATTTCTATGACTCCAAATAATGCTGTTCAGACTTTCTCAGATTTAGGTACAGAGTATATTAAGATTTAGGAAGATGCATCCATTTTTGTCTTTTATTCCAGCTAGAAAATAACAATCAAGCTCTATAAATACAGTTGCCTCGAGATCCGAAGTAACCCTTGTAACCCTTCCAACCCTGTGTGAATATTTAAAAGGCTGTCGAGACAGCTGGAATCTCTTCTTGATCATCCCAGAGTGCAAGACATGGAATAGTATGTTTAAGTTGCAAGAAGCCAGACTGCAGCTGAACATCAGGAAAAACTTCCTGACCATAAAGGCAGTACGACAATAGAACTAATTACCTAGGGAGGTCGTGGGCTTTCCTGCACTAGAGGCATTCAAGAGTCAGTTGTCCAGCCATTTGTCAGAGATTCATTGAGCAGGAGGTTGGACTCCATGGCCTTATTGGCCCCTTCCAAGTCTACTAATCTATGAGTGTATTATATAGCATGTTTCAGGTATCAAAACTACTTTACTGAAATAATGTATCTACAATAACCTTGAAAGATCCTTATATTGCAGATAGGATGTCATGCTTGGGAATAGTGTCTTGTTAAGATCATTTACAGCACATTTTTGGACAGAAATAAGTCATGTTGACTGAGGAATACAGGGAGTTTTAGGGCATATTTTTGTCGAACAATGCATAAGAATGTACACTTAGTGAGTGCTTGGCAGAGGTGAGATCTGAAACAAGGGCTTCCTGGCCAAAGCATCCAGAAGATCCCAAGTTGTTCACCTCTGCAAGGAATAGTAGTGAACATGATGTGAACTTATGACTATGATTATTTGTGAATAAATGTTGCTCCATGATAAGTTATTTATATGCAGTTGAACAAGCATGTGTACAAAGTATATCAGTGTGTAAAAATTAAATGATTTTTCTCTTCCCAGGAATTAAATATATAGGGAATATTTCCAAATATACATAATCAGGAAAGACTGAGTGACATGCAGTTTTTATTTATTTAAAAAAGTTAGTGTTTGCTGATGAAAGAATTAATATTTATATATGGATAAACTGAGAATTCTTGAAGAAGAACTTCATACTTCCTCACTAGTGTAAAGACAGTGGTTAAGTAGTTCAAACATAAACATTTTAGTTGTAGGAGTAACTTGTGAGAGCACTAGCAGTAGCCTTCTTAATGTGCCTTATTTTCTAAGGTAAGTCTAGATAATGGATGATTTTCAGACTTAGATATTTACAGAACTGATCCCAGGTCTTCATTTTACTCCCAAATTATTTTCTTTCACTTAACGAAGTTCACCCTACGCTAAATTCTCTAAAAACAGGTAAGCTGAATCTTATGGGAAAATTTAGTATATTAATAGCTTTCTATAATTATGGAGTTGCATGAACAACTCTATAGATAAGGTGTCTTGATATCTCGACATTCTTCCAGTATATCTCTTGAGTATTATATTCTTTATATTATGGGATTAACGCAGCTTCTTTTCTACTGATAATGAATTTCCTTAGTGGAATTCCACTCAGAATATAATTTCCGCTTTTCTCCAATGCAACTTCCTCCCAGCACCACCTCTCTTACTACTCTGGAAGGTCCTCCACAATTTTCCAAGGCAGATGTCACAGGGACAGGTCTGCAGGAAGAGGGAAATCCATGAAAAGGTTCCCTCATTTTGCCAGTGGGATTGCTCCACTGTATCATTAAGCTACAAAAAACCAAAAGGAGTGCTTCTATCTGCAGGTGGTAGATTTTGCATTCAATGCATTGTCTTGATTTTATCAATATTAAAATTTATATTGATTATCTGCCTTGGGGTATATTTAGGCCACAATTTGTGTGTGTAGGGATGTGTGAATCCACTGAAAGGTTGCTTGTGATAGTAATTCCAAATATTACATTGAAAGGTGAGGACCACACATTAAATTATGTATGTATTTTCTTAATCCATAACTTCAGTTTCTGCTTTTGATGCTTGAATATAGGTCAATCAATTATGTTGCATGATATGGCAATCTTGTGTCCTGGGTATGAGAAAAGAACTGGTATAGTGGTGCCAATTGGTATAGCTTGGACAGGTTCAAGATTTTAGCTTTCTGGTACCATTGAAGTACAAGGAGGCTGAGGGACCCGAAGAAAGGGGGTCATGGGAAGGAGCTGAGATGCATGTATACTAACGCTAGAAGCATAGGAAACAAGAAGAGCTTGAGGCTCTCCTGGGAATAGGAGGGTATGACCTGATGGGGATCACAAAAACTTGGTGGGATGAAAGGCAGGATTGGAATGTAAACATAGAGGGGTATGTCCTATTCAGAAAGGACAGGAAGGGAAAGAGAGGAGGGGACATAGCATTATATGCCAGGGAAGGGATAGGATGCAAAGAGAAAGAGGGTGGTGCAGATGGGGATCTGGTAGAGGTGGTCTGGGTAAAACTAAAGGGTCTTGGTGGGGGGAGGGACCTGACAGTAGGGATATGCTATCACACACCAAGTCAATTTGAGACCCTGGTAGACCAGATTTGAAGGATATCTTGGGGGAGTTATGGGAGACTCACTCAGCGCTGACAGCCAAGTCACATTGCTTCGTAGACACTATAGAGGGATGGTTTTTCACACAGAGGGTCCAGGAGGCAATGAGGGGGAGAAATATCCTTGACTTAGTTTTGACCAACAGGGAAGGCCTGGTGGATAAGGTACAGATTAGGGGAGCTCTGAATGCAAGTGATCAGTCCATTCTTTGCTTTGAGATCAGGGGAATGGGGATGAGCGACAGGTAGAATACTAGAAGCTGGGATTTCACAAGGGCAAAGTTTGGTCAACTGAAGGCCAGACTTGGGAAGGTCTCCTGGGAAGAGGGTACTTGAAGGCAAGGGAGTTCAGGAGGGGTGGACGGCACTAAAAAGAGAGGTCCTGGCGGTGCAATACCTCTTGACGATACTGCTAGTTAGCAAGGTGGGGAGGTAAAGGAGAGCACCGCTGTGGATGCAAAAAGAGGTGGTAAGAGGGATTAGACGTAAGGGGAACTTCTGTAGGAAATGGGCACTGGAGCAAGTAAACAAAAGGGTATACCAGGAGGAGAAGGCTAGTTGCAGAAGGATTCTTCGCAAGGCTAAGGTTGGTAATAAGCTGAGACTTGCAACAAGAAGGACTTCTCTCAATATGTAAATAGCCAGAGGAAGGGGAGACAGGCGGTGGGACCACTTAATAAGGAAGAAGGGGGTTCAGTGACTGAAGTGATGGAACAGGCACAGATGCTGAATTACTATTTTGCCTTTGTGTTCTCCTCAAAGCAGGATGGGGGAGATTTACATAGGGACTGGATGAGGCTGGGGATTTAGGCACTGATTAGGCTCACCCCCCTAGAAGTTGAGGGGCTCCTCAGGGCACTGGACATTACAATGGCACTGGGCCCTGACAGATTACACCCCAGGGTACTTTGGGAGTTGGCAGGCGTTCTTTCGCGCCCGCTGACCTCCATTTTTGAGTCCTTGTGGAGAACGAGTGAACTTCCAAAGGACTGGAGGATGGAGTCAGTGGTCCTAATTTTCAAAAAGGGTAGTAGAGGGGACATGGGGAATTACAGACCAGTTAGGCTTACATCCATT